GCATAGGGTGGGACACTTCCGTGCACCCTGCAAAATTGGAGGAATTACCGGGCATTGCCAGAAATTTACCAAAAGAAATTGGCAGGGGGTCATTTTACTTGATTCCTTTCCACAAGAATGCATTGCACAACATATGTAGAAAGAATGGGCTGGCCAACAAGAGTGTGCCAACCGCCGGCCATCGACCCGCCTCCGTGACCTCTCCAAGGTCACGTGAATTACTTGTCACGACGTCGCAAGCAGCCGAGACTGAGTCAGGCGAGCGTCACTACTACAGATAAAGTCAAAAATCGCAAAAACGAAAAAAATATGCAGGAATGTGCCCCTAGGCAGTGCGTGCACGAACCTGCCCCACAACGTTATTTGTAATATAATTCAAAATTTCTTATTGAAAAAATGACAGTTTTTTAACAAAGAAGTTTGCAGCAGTTCCGTGAATAAAGTGAGCTTCTTCGGACCCAATTTTGAAAAGTTGAACCACATTTCCGAGTCAGGATCACGAAAATGGATGATATGAGAAAAGTTTGGAAAGCCCACGAATATGACAAATTTGCGTTTTTATCAAGCATGACATCAGGTACAGTGTTGTCTTCTACAGTAAACGAAGGGCGGCAATGATAGACATATTTTCATAATTTACCTTTAGCTCGTGCAGTCACTCGTGTTCCCATTAACTGCTGAAAACGAATGTGCCCCATGCACGAATGTGCCCCACTCTCCCCTATCGGTGACCGGACCGTCCGTCCCCAGGTACGACCACGAGCGGGCGCGGGAGGAGCGCGAGCTGCTGGACCGGCCCGACGGCGGCCAGGCGACGTTTGTGCAGAAGCAGATGCGCGCCGCCGCCGGCCGCGGCACCGTCGAGGACCGGCTCAAGTCGAACCGCTACAACATCCAGCGCTCGGCCGCCGCCATGGACAAGAGTTTCGTGCGCCGCTGACGGCGGCCGCGCAGGTCAGCCGCGGACTCAGCCCCCCTCCCCTCCCCTCCCCGCCGACTGTCCGGACTGGGACCGAGGTACCTGGGGCTGGTCCAGCTGGCTCCCCCGGGCTGAACAGTGTACCTGCGACTGGTGTGTTTTGTAGCACCACTTGTTTTGCTCCCTCAGACTGGGAGTCTAATAGTGTGATCGGATCCCCGCAGACTCGTTGGCGCCAGGGCAGCAGGCCCGCCGAGAAATACCCTCCGTGGACTGTGCGATTATTTTATTAGGGTGAGACATTGTCTCAGTCGAGACAGGGCTCGCCTTGACTGAGCTGGCTGTTAGGCGCACTGGTGCGCCGCGATATACTGCACATCAATGTCAATACAAACACGTATTTTTATGTATTCCAGCGTAAAACAACAAACCCGATACAGGAAGCATATGCGAGCTTCGGCGCCCTGACACGTTCCGAGACCCGGTTACTGATACACTGAGACACAGATGGCTAGTTGAGATATCAGAGTGGCATCTCTTTATACTGTGATGTTCATTGGGTCCTTAAAGCGTCATTCTTCAGTTGGCTACATCCAACCTATTTGCAACCGTACGATTATTTGGAGCAGCTTTTAGAACCGAGCCGGGCCTGTGCTACCATACCAGCGCCGCTACCTAGATAACTACGCATAACGACCCTTCTGGGGCCAGACATCACTGCCGGCCACGCTCAAAACGCAACAACAAACATGCCTATTTGGAGCATCTCCTCTCCCTAGCGTAGCAACGTGTATATCTATATAAACACATCGATAATCTACCACCGGCAAAATAGCAACACATGTACACTGAGATCTGATTGGCATTTGTCGTATAATATGTGGCGCTAAGCTACAAATATGCATTTGTCAGCACTGAACATCACAGCGGCGCAGGCGCGTTAACTGAGCATATGGCGGGAGCGCTGACCAGCGGTGCCGGCTCCGCGTGCCGGCTGTCCGGACGGAGTGCGCCGCTGGGCTCCGCCACACTAAACGACCCAGTCACCCGAGTAACTGGCTGCGGCTCTATGCCACGACATCGATAACAGGGCGTGTAACGGTGATCGCACAGGAATCAGGGAAGCGACTCGCACGCTGACCTGGTCGGGTCTAAGAGCTGCACAGCGGGCGTGGTTCGAACCTCTGCTGTGGCTAATTCGCAGCGAGTGTCGCCCCTGGTGGTCCTGCCGAGGGGTAGGGGCGGGTAATCGCCCCCGGTCCCTGTGGCGCCCTCTGCCGTGGACGGCGCCACCGTCTCGGCTGAGCGCTCCGCTCCCCGGCTCACAGCACCGTCTCCAGCTCCGCGATCTCGACCGAGGCCGGCCTGGAAATGGTCAGCGGCGGTCAGATGGTCCACCGCTACCTCCTTCAGGCCAGGAGCATGACTGGGTTCAAATACCAGCAACCGATAGCTGGGTTCACCTCCGGTCCTGACCCCGTCCCTCACCTCCGGCGCTGGCCCCATTCCACACCTCCGGCGCTGGCCCCATTCCCCACCTCCGCCCCTTAGGCCGCCCCCGCCCCTCACCTCCGGCCCTGTCGGCCGCCCCCGCCCCTCACCTCCGGCCCTGTCGGCCGCACCGTCGCTCACCTCTGCTGCACCCGGTGGGCGGCGTACGAGTCCGGGTGGGGTCGGATAAACTCAGCCGACTGCTGGGTGTACATGTGGTGCCGCACGGCGCTGGGCAGGCCCCACTCGGGCCGGCGCGCCACGGGAGCCCTGCGGCAGCGGCCCGGCCGAGGGGGGGAGGTCAGTCCCGGAGGAACCCAGGGTCAGTCTTAGAGGGATATGGGGTTAGTCTGAGGGGGCACAGGGTCAGTTGTAGAGGGACCCATGAAAGGTCATGGTCTGGGTCGCTCATACCCGGTTGAATGCCTGAATGCCACTGGGTTGGCGTGTGTCTCTGCGTGCGTATGTGTGTCTGTGAGTGTATGAGACGGCGGGCAGTGGCGCGGTAGGAAGTGGAGGCTTGAAGCTGCAGTGGGCTGGTCGTGTACACATACGGTGACCGTAACACGGCGGCGCTACACTCTTTTATCTATCTTTCCTTGCATTTTGCAAACATGCAAGCCATGGATCGCACTAGTTCAGGCCTATCTTAACCCGCGCACCGACGGGGGGCGGATATCCCCCCCCCCCCCCGAGGTTTCTCGTAGATAGTGGGAAAAGCGCGGCGCGTATCGCCGCGAAATATCGTACGATTATTCCCTCATCAATTTTATACATGGTGTGCAAGTTTGAACCTCCTAACTTTAAAGGTCAGGTCACCAGGTCACTTTGAATGACCCAACCTCAAGTGACTTTTTTGCAAATTTGTCACCGTGCCAGAGCTACAGTAGATGTCGGAGGCCTTTGAAAGTCGCAGGATGTTATAAGGTCATCATTAGCTACAATTTGTATGTCTCGGAATTTTGATATCGATGACCTAAGGTCAGGTCAATTTCTCGACCTCCCCATTATAATTATGTCGATGGGGGAAAAATCAACTCCCTGTTTTTACCACTAAAACGAGTCGGAATAGCCCCATAAACCATACATGACTTCATATACGATCAACCTTCACTGCCTTGAGATCTGTTTTGCTGTTGGGCACCTGTAAGGTCATGTGACGTCATCAAAGGTCACCAAAGGTTTTTTGCCAATAACTCCGTACAGGAACAAGATACAGCCGCGCGGATGGTCTCATTGTGTTCAGCTCGTCAAGGCGCATCGAATGATATACATGATGACCTCTAGGTCACGTGACCTGAGGTCAACCTTTGACCTTGACCTTTCGAGGTCAACATATATATCATTCGATGCAAATTGACGAGAGGATGACGATGATGCCCTTAGTTTGTTCCTATCTTGACTAGTTCGAAAGTTATTCGAGAAAAATTATCTCCATATCTAGCGCCGCCATTTTGACTTTTTTGACCCCTGTGATGTCATCTTTGACCTGACCTGAAAATGACCCTAGTAAAAATTGTAGACCTTGTCCATGCGTATCCCATGCCGTTTACCGCTTGTCGCTATATTGCTTCGTTCTCGAGATCTCTGGGGGGAGTGGTCATCCCCCCGTCGGTTTTAATTTGGCGCAGACCCCTGTCGTTACGCGGGTTAACCCTCGCCGGCAGGGGTGCGGGAACTACGTTCAGACTGGGGGGCACACCATAATTGAGATCAACCTAGGGTACCCTCAAATCTAGTTTTCTCACCGGTTTTAGGCCACTTATTTTTCATCCCTTGGCTTTTTCAACAAAAAAGAAAACATTTGCAAAAAAAGGTGTGGTATTCCGTCTCAAAGCTGTGGGGGCGCCTCAGAGTTGGGGGGGGGGAAGCTTGAAGCTGCCCCAACTGCCCCCCCCCCCCCCCCCCCGGCTCCCGCGCCTATGCTCGCCGGCCGAGGGGGGCGGCTGTGACTCGTGACCTGGGAGCGCTGACCTGACCTTGACCCGTGGTCAACATCTGAACTTGACCTCACCTGAACAAAAATTATACCATTCGACGCGCCTGAGCAAGGCGAACACGATGATGCCAAAATCGCGGTTTTGTGACCGTTTTTGCGAAGTTATTCACCAAAAACGGAACCGTACCTTGGGGCACCTGACCTGACCTCAGAGGTCACCGGTTGACCTGAGACCTTAAAATCGGGTACCAGTCGCTGCGTCTCGTGACGACACACGCTCATTTTTCCGCGACGTTCTAGCCCCACTCAGGGGCGAAACGGCGAGAGGGGTCCGGGGTCGTACCCCCTCCCCCCCTCGGTTGGGGCGTATGTAGAAAACCAGTATGTCCGGCGAGGGTTAGTAGGGCTTGCTGCGTATGCTCCAGTCAAAGGTACCGTTCGTTTGGACAATGCCGCATTGAACCGGGACAATTTTGGTCCGGCGAGGGCTAAGCAAATAAATAAATGCTTGCTCAACGTATCCTTACTCGACGATTATGTTAAATCCTGCGATTGAATGCATTTGTCGGATTTTTAATAGGTGTCGTTTTCCTAGACTCAGGCCCGCTTCCAAGTTCAAATCAATGGGGAAAGAATGCAACTGCACGTCTATCGCGCGAAAGCTTCTATAAGTGTTCTCGAGCGTCGCAAGTTATATGCTTCTTTTTGATACCGAATCGTAGATTTGATGAAAATTGACCTTTAAGGTCAACAGCGCCGCATAGTTAACATTTTTAATAGCTTTTGATGACCGGTCGAGCGCCAATTAGGTATTCGTTGCCGTTTTTCGGCCCAGGAGCCCTGTTAGACGGGATGTCTGATCTGAGGTACCCAGCTGGGCGTGGACATCCAGGGGGGCCCTGCTCGTCAGGGGGCACCTCAACCAGGCTAAGTCAGCTACGGTTTACTTGTGCTTAGCATGCATGCGTTTATAAACTTACTTCGCTAGTCACTACGCTGAGGCGAGCTGCTGCTCAACATAATTCGACACTGTGACTAAGCATCTTGCTTTGCTACGGTGCTACCAAAAGTCCATTCTAACCGGGGACAGGTTCCCCGCACTTGCGAAATCCGTCTTAACAAGCGAGGCCTCAAGTGGTCCTGAATCTAGATTGAAAGTATTTTTACCTGACCGGTACTCCTCGGCTGGAGGCAAAAGCTCACTGTGTGATAGCATGCAGAGAAACTGACGGGATGGGGAGCATGCGGGTGTTACGACGGGCGCAGATGGCATGCGGATAGCAGCATGTCGAGCGGCACGTACCCTTTGTGCTGCGGCCCGTCTTTGGTTGGCAAACAGCACCACGAGCTGTTGCTGTGGGTAACACGAGAGCGGGCATTCAGCGCGGGCCGGCCGGCCGGCCGCAGCTGAGTCGGTGGACAGGGCACACAGGCCGGCTCACATGGTGACCAGCATGCTTAGTGTGAAGTCAGAGCGATCAAAACCACGGGCGGTGAGTAGCGAAAGTACGCCGCAAAGCGCCGAGAGAGAGAGCAGGCTAGTGTGCAGTGTGCAGTAAGGTTACACGTACAAAATGTGAGCAAGGGTAAAAATGTACCGGTCATTGAGCTAATAGAAATGTTTTGTGCAGAACAACAAATAGCTGGTTCCATTTTTTTTCATCCGTAGAAGACTAGAAATTGTGGGTATACGTTATGTGACTATGCCAATCGACAAAATCAATCCGGGTCACCAGTTGGTACCTATGTCCGTCGTTTTCATTCCCTTTGCCCATTATGGAAACCTTCCTAATAATCTGCACACAGACGGGTCCGATATCTACTCCTGTTCTTTTCTCAGATTAAAAGTGGCAACAAACAGTGGCGTCGCCACGGGGGGCAAACGGGGCAGCTGCCCCCCCCCCCCCCACAACCTCCAACCGGGCGCCCCCTGAGATCGATGAAGATCTGATGAGATTTTGGGGTCGGCAAAAAATGGGGGCCTAGTTTTCAAGAATGGCTGTGAAGTCAGAATCGGTTGGAGTCGAGAGTCCGAGCCAGAGTCGGAGTGAGAGTCGCCAAAATTTTCAGGACTTCGACTCTCCGACATATCAAAACTTTGATTCAATCCATGTCATAGCTGGTGTTATCTGAATTTTACGCCCGGTTTTCATCACTGTTGTGGAGCTGGGAGCGCCCCCCCCCCCCCCCTACCTTCTCTCGGGAGCAGCGGTCCGTTCACTTGTAGAGACCGTATAGTTACGCTGGCACGAAATTTTAGAGTCAAGACCTAGCTCGAAAGATTCGATGCTGGGTCAGGGTCTTTTCCAACTCTGGCCAAAGGTCTTTGACATCTTCAAGTGCCGGTAAAGTACCATGGGGCTAACGAGGGCTGTGCATAGGCGCCTAAACAGTCCCACTGAATACTAAGAAGGGATCCCACGCTAGCTTCCGAGGGACCCAAACCGACCTCCGAGGGCCCTCAGGCCGGCACTTATGAACACCACTCCGATTTTCCACTGCTGATTCTGAAAGCTCGCAGGGCCCATCAGGCCCGAATAACCCGAGGGCCCCTGAACCTGATGGGGGGAGGGGGTACGTGCCTCACGGACCCACCTGGCTACGCCACTGAGGAAAATAGTAAACCCGTAAATAGGCGAAATGCGATCACCTGTCATGTTTAGCGACTATTGTGATCGTCTGACTCTCGCCAGAGCCTCGTAGCTACCGCTGCCTCCGCGCAATGTCCGTCCCCATGCGGGCCGCAAGGGCTGCTGCACCGGTCCGGTGCTAATCGCCGTCATCGGTTTCTGTCACCTTATTACAGAGGTGCCGGGGCTGTTGCCGAGCTGCCGGCAACATATACGACGTTTCGGAAAGATGTTTATGTAATAAGGTAGCCAAGTACTAGGACGAGCAGAATGATTTTCAAGAAGTATGTTCTACCTTTGGGGAATATTAGTGGAAATCCCGGGATTATCAGCACCCTATATAGGGATACCCAGCCGCAACCCTGCCTTGTACATACGGTTGTTCCCACTGCCCCATGGCAAAGCTGCAATCTTTCACCCGGTGCACGGGGGTTGAGCACCCCCAACCATTTTGAAAAATCGACACCCCTGGTTGCCACATTTATTGATGGACAACCTCGAAACTCCCAGTGCCTTGTAAATTCCGTGATAGTCACCCCTACAATCTGTCCCGGTTTAGGAAAATATGCGATCTTTTTCCGGCCGATAGGTGCAAATAATAAGTCAATAGAAAAATTTCAAGCTGCATCGACGTTAGCACAATAATGTCGCATTATTTTATCAATACTTTCACGATACCTACCAACAATCCAATCAAAATTATACCTAAAACCAGATCTGAAATTCTGCAGCTGGTCTAGCGGTGTCCAATCAGCACGTCAGTCTGGGTAACTGAGCGTATATGAAGTCGGCTCGTTGATGAGTCCCTTTCCCCGACTGATTCCGTCAGTGCGGCATGCACGCGGTGCGGCCGGCGGCGGCGGGGGGTGCGAGGCCGGGGCTCGGCGCCGGACCGAGCAGCTCACCTTTGGTCTCGGCGCACCGACGCCAGGAAGCGGGCACTGGGCGCGAGCCCCGGGTCGCCCAGCTGATGTTCCAGCTCGCGGATCCGCAGACGGGCCACGTCCAGCTCCCGCTTCACCTGCCGACCCGGGGCAGGGTGTCAGTGACTCAGTGACAGGGGTTTCAGTGACTCAGTGACAGGGGTGTCAGTGACTCAGTGACAGGGTTGTCAGTGACTCAGTAACAGGGGTGTCAGTGACTCAGTGACAGGGGTGTCAGTGACACAGTGACAGGCGTGTCAGTGACTCAGTGACAGGGGTTTCAGTGACACAGTGACAGGCGTATCAGTGACTCAGTGACAGAGGGTGTCAGTGACACAGTGACAGGGGTGTCAGTGACACAGTGACAGTGGTGTCAGTGACAGTGACAGTGGTGTCAGTGACACAGTGACAGTGGTGTCAGTGACACAGTGACAGTGGTGTCAGTGACACAGTGACAGGGGTTTCAGTGACAGTGACAGGGGTGTCAGTGACTCAGTGACAGGGGTGTCAGTGACAGTGACAGGGGTGTCAGTGACTTAGTGACTGGGGTGTCAGTGACTCAGTGACAGGGGTGTCATTGACACAGTGACAGGGGTGTCAGTGACACAGTGACAGGGGTGTTAGTGACACAGTGACAGGGGTTTCAGTGACTCAGTGACAGGGGTGTCAGTGACAGTGACAGGGGTGTCTGTGACAGACCTGGGGCGTCTCAGTGTCTCAGCATTCGTTTTTATGCTATCGATACATTATATTCCAGGATGGCAGTGCATGTCCATTTTACGGTCGGAAATGGATTTATGTGGCCGTACATATAAGACCTGCCGCCTATCCGGTCAGCTCTGAGCGGCGCAGTGCCGGCTGCACTGCAGCATAGTGTGAAAATACAGGTCTGTGCCGTCGCCGCCGCGCACTGCAGCACAGTGTGGAACTACAGGCCCGCGCCGCCGCCGCCACGCACTGTAGCACAGTGTGGAACTACAGGCCCGCGCCGCCGCCGCCGCAGGAGCCCACCTTCAGCAGGTGGGTGTCGCAGATGGGGTCGCGGCACCGGTGGTACTTGATGATGTCCTGCGCCTCGTATACGGCGCCGCGGAACGTCAGCGACTTGCCCATGTTCTGCAACGGCCGGACAGGGGCGGTGACTTCCACCCGCGGTCCGATAGATCAGCAGTGCCGGCGCAGCCCACCCCGTGGAGCCCTGCACCGATACATAATATCACCAACACAAACACTGAAATACGGATGTAACGTAGAGAGGTTATCGTTTTATTACGAATCGCCACATAATTGTACCAATATGATTTACGAGTAAAAGGCGCGGGAGAGTGCAAACCGCCGCTGATCACGCTCAGCAGACTGCTGAGCGCACAGCCGCCAGTCCCACTCACCAGACTGATGAGCGCGCAGCAGCCACCGCGGTCCGTCTTGGCCAGCTGCTTCCGAATGTGCTTGAAGTAGCAGTGCTCACAGGCCAGTATCGCACAGGCCAGCAGTATGCCGCAGCCGAGCAGGAGAAAAGCCGATAAAAACTGTCCGACAAAGTCACTGTATACGTTACAACCAAACAATGATGGCGCACATTCGAAGACCACAGCTTTTTGGATATGAGTTTGAGGAGTAGGAGTCCAGCCTCTCTCAGACGGTCCGAGTCCGGTGTAGGATGGGCTCACCTGCTCCAGTGCCAGTGGCTCGGATGCGCGCTTGTGCTGCTTCTGTGGCTTGCAGGCACCAGTTAGCCAAAATCGTTGTAGTCGCTCAATGTACCCTGATGGAAGAATGGCATTATCTTATCAATGAATGCACTTTTCACCTATGACTTATTTAACAATCGATCCGGCCGTTTAATTTGAGTGTGTACTCAGTGAATCCACCTCCTGTATAGGTATACGAGTTTTCTCAGCGCTGCACATCTCGTCAGCGGCACCCCGCCGCTCAGAAGTTCCCGAAACTGGTGTCATTTGGAAATGAGATTAAGCGCAGCCGAGCAGTAGAAGATGTATCGTGTCGTTTGTCACCATTATCCGTCACGCTGTCCGCCGAGGGGCGGTCTGGCGGAGAGTCATCCCAAAATACCTACCGTTCAGCCGACAGGGGCATACACAACAGGTCGGCGGGAGCCAGGAGCGGTGCCGGCTGGGAATACAGGCCCAGGCGGGTATGTCCGACGGTGCCGCCCGACCCACCGTTGTCCTTGTACTGCATGAGTTTCTCGTTGAACTGGTCGAGGTACTTGGAGCCGCGCCGGAAGCCGACGCCGTAGCCGGTCATGCCGTACCAGGCGCCGACGGTGAGGATCTCGCAGTCGTCGTCCTGCGCCACCATGTACTGCAGCACGGTGGCGTCGTACAGGAACGCGTCCAGCTCCCTGCCGCCGTCAGTCGTACACGCGGGTGACACACAGCCGTCAGTCGTACACGAGGGTGACACACAGCCATCAGTCGTACACGAGGGTGACACACAGCCGTCAGTCGTACTCGAGGGTGACACACAGCCGTCAGTCGTACACGAGGGTGACACACAGCCGTCAGTCGTACACGCGGGTGACACACAGCCGTCAGTCGTACACGAGGGTGACACACAGCCGTCAGTCGTACACGAGGGTGACACACAGCCGTCAGTCGTACACGAGGGTGACACACAGCCGTCAGTCGTACACGAGGGTGACACACAGCCGTCAGTCGTACACGAGGGTGACACACAGCCGTCAGTCGTACACGAGGGTGACACACAGCCGTCAGTCGTACTCGAGGGTGACACACAGCCGCACAGTGACACACTCCGTTTGTACTAATTGGGGTTCTAAGTGGGGTTCGACTGTGACCGGGTGACTAAGAGCTGGCGGCAGCGGCTCTGGTAAGTATAAGGCAAGTGCTCGGAGCCGCGACACTCACCCGGTCTTGATCATCTTGACGCCCTCCTGGACGTTGTGTACCGGGTAGCGGAGGATGTAGCGGAACTGCTGCGGCTTGTGCTCTCGCAGCACCATCTCCGTGTTGGTGTGGAGCACGGTGCCGGCTCGGAACGGCGGCTCGAACTGGTACGGCGACCTCATCTGCGGCCGGCGGCAGGTCACGAACGGTATTGGACCGAGAATGCCACAGGTAGAGGGCGAGGGGGCGCATTGGAGGGCGGTTGAACACGTTCAAAATCAGCACTCGGTTGTAAATGAGCTTCAGGTGATTGTAAAATCAGATATTCCACGTAAATGTAAAAAGGTTGATAAGGACGCATCATTGTTTATTGATTGGATATATAATATTTCGCTAATATCTAATATTTCGTACCGCTAATACAGGGTGTCCCAGAAGTCTTGAAGCTTTTTTATTTTTGCCGTGTGACCTTGCTATGCCACCGATTAAGGCAAATGACGCCTCAAACGAAAGAGAATGAACTGAAATTTTGTATTTTCATGCGTAGAGCACCACTTGAGTCAGGTGGCCCCCGTTGTGAGTCGCACAAGATTGAGCACGAGAGATCACGTTCTTCGCTGCCGCCAAGATCTCCCGGTTTGCGAAACACCGGTGTCGCCATGCCCGTTTCTGGTCAGCTTCAGAGCCTTATTTCATGAAGCAAGCCAGGAAACAGAGCATTGGATCTCCGAGAAAACGTTAGCAACATAATGATTTACTGATCAGAAAGTCTCCTGACATGTTTGCACGCATCCATTACGGAAATAAGGCTCAGCTGCTTGAGCACGCTAGGCAACAGCCCGTTGTAATCCTTTGATTCGTCGCATTATTATGGGGCTAAAACAAATATCAACCCGTCGCAAATATATGTCGCTAATATTATTATTATGTCGCTCGCTTCAGGGAATAAGACTCTGAAGCTGACAAGAAACGGGCATGGCGACACCGGTGTTTCGCAAACCGGGAGATCTTGGCGGCAGCGAAGAACGTGATCTCTCGTGCTCAATCTTGTGCGACTCACAACGGGGGCCACCTGACTAAAGTGGTGCTCTACGCATGAAAATACAAAATTTCAGTTCTTTCTCTTTCGTTTGAGGCATCATTTGCCTTAATCGGTGGCATAGCAAGGTCACACGACAAAAATAAAAAAGCTTCAAGACTTCTGGGACACCCTGTATTACCAGGAAATAAAAAAAGAGTGATGGGTACCTTTCTAAGCACGTCTCCTTTATTTACCTGCGTCTATCCAATTACACTGACAGGCCTCACATCAGCGGCGTTGAGTCTATAAGTCACAGCTACGAGGGTGGTGGCGGGCTGGGCTGTCGGACACTCGAGGCTCCGTCCCGGCCAGCAGGCACTGGAGAGTAGCCGTGGCGCCGGCCCAGGTGACGGCAATCGCGGCTGGACACTCGGGGGCGGGACCGGCCGTCTCTGGAGCGGGAGGGGGGACACTCGAGAACGGGCACTGGGGACCGGCCGCCTCTGGAGGGGGGGGGGGGACACTCGAGGCCGGGCACTCAGGCGGAATCGGCCGACTGCGGAGAGCGGCCGAGCGCCCTCACCCGCTCATCGTCGATGCCCTTGAGCTCGTGGAACTCCTCTCGGGTGATCATGAAGGCGGCCAGGTTGGCGGTGTAGATGGCGAGGAAGACGACGGCGAACAGCGCCCACATGGAGGCCATGAACCTGGAACGGCCGCGGCGCCGGCGTCAGCCGACAGAGCGGCGCCGCCGGCCGCGGACGGATCCACCTACACGCAGCCACTTCAACTCCCACGGCAGGCCGAACGGTCAGCTTTATTGCGATCCCATGAATCAGTAACGGCGGAACACCTTCAATTAAAGGGGAGGGGACACTGCCGACTTTTGGTCCCATTCTTTCCATGCAACGCCCATAGGGCTAATGTTAAAATGCCAAAATCAAAGGGGGCACGGTGCCCCGGTGCCCTCCCCGTTCCGCCGCCTATGCCATGAATGTGCGTCAAGTTAGCGTCGTATTCGTAGTCGTTTTCAGCGTCGAGCTCAAAACTTAACCAAACTATGTCAACCGATAGATCTTATTCTTGACACGCGGCTTCCAAAAATATCTTTCATTTTGACCTAGGTCAAACACCTTGAACTTTAGGGGCTAGATACCATTTTTAGACGGGGTACCGAATAAAAAGGTTATTTACCGTTCGATCGCGCTCAAAATACCACCAAACCAGGGGGATGTCGTCCCGGTTCTCCCCATGTATTATTCGCCAATCAGTTTAACACTACCAGTGACGTCACTGGTGGATCACCAATCGGGGCCGGCCGGCCGGGCCCGTAGGAGGCCAAACGCAGACGTTTTCAGAAAAGCGTAAGCCGTATAGATACAGTCTTGGATGGAGTTTTGCTGTGATTCGGCTCTCCAAGAGTGCGTCAGCGGACCAGGACCAAGATAAAGGTCCTAGTGAACCGGCATCTGATAAAATCCGCTCACGGCTTAGCAGCCGACTTCGACCCTTAGCACTCGTAAAATACGAAAAGCTTGCCGGTTATCAATCCACCTGCATCTCCTCATCTGCTCACTGCCTATATCGACCAGTTACTGCAGCCGTTTTGGAGCGGCTCACGGCCGATAACACGCCGGGCGTGCGCTAGCCGCCGGTGCTAAGCGCTAACCATTGAGTGCGCGTGGCTGACTGCCGCCCCATGGCGCTGGCCCCCGGCACCGACACCGGCGCGGCGCCGCTGACCCATGGGAGGGGGGATTGCTAGAGCCGGAATTGGGATAGAAGCCGGTATGGGATTGGGATGGAAACTCAGCGAGACTAAGGGATTGTGTTGTGCCTTCGGTAGGCCCCCAAAAATCACCGGTGTAGTGCCCTCAGGGCCGCCGGTTATGAAGCCTTTGGAGGCACTGGTGTGGGCCCTCAGAGGCATTGGTGCGGGGCCCCGGAGGTGCCGCTGTGGGCCCTCTGAGGTGCTAGTGTGTGGCCCTCAGAGGCGCCGGTGAGGGTCCTCACAGTTGCCATTGTGGGCCCTCAGAGACACTGCAGTGTGGGGTCATCACAGTCGGGTGTGGGACCCTATAGAGCTGCTGGCTCGAACCCTTTATAAGCCGACAGGGGCTCTCAGAGACCGACAAAGGGCCCTTAAGAGGTCTGCGGTGTCTTCAGGAGCCCTGTGGAGTCCTCAGAGACCAGCAAGGTACTCTCAGACGCCGGTGGGGGCCCTCAGAGTCGTCAGTGCGGGGCCCTCAAAAGTCACCGGTGAGTGGCCGTCCGATGCGAAGGTCCCGTCTTAGGCCGTCAGAGGCTCCGGCGTTGAGCCCTCAGAGCCGCCGATATATGGCCTTAAGAAGCACTGGTTTGGGCCTTTGGAACTTCATTCAGGGGTGTCGGTTGAACTCAGAGGTGGCAGTGTGGGGCCCTCAGCTGGGCACCGCTTTGGGGCTTTCACAGCCGCCGGTGAGGGCCCTCGCAGGCGCCGTTGTGGAGGCCTTCAACCATTGGTTTAGGGGGTCATCACAGGCGTGTGTGGAACCCTTAGAGCTGCTGGTCCCTGATAGGCCGGTAAGGGCCCTCAGAGGCCGGCAAGTAGCCCTCAGAGGTCGCCAATGGGCCCTGAGAGACCGGCAAGGGGCCCTAAAATGCCGACAAGAAACAATAAAAAAACCGGTGTGTGGCTCCTATGGAGAGAAATGTGGCTATTGTGTGGCTATTCGGAGCATATAAGATGTTTTTTTCGAGCCCTGTGGGGCCCTTCTGAGTCGAAAATGCCGGTGTGGACCCTCAGCCGCCAATTGGCGTCGCAGGGCCCCTCGGGCCCGAGAGGCCCCCTGATCCGATGGGGGCACGCGCCCCCTGCCCCCCTCCGGGTGCAGATAGAGAATGCAATCGGCGGTGCGGGACACAACAATTGCAATCGTTCCTTCTCCCGTCGCGAGGTCGCCCATCCGACCCATACATCCCAAGATTATCAACCCTGGGGCTCGGGTCGGCAATGTATCGGCAAGGAAATCAGCTTTAGGAGTCATTAGTTGTCGTTACGTTCAGTAATAGCAACGATAAAGTGCCAAATGTACCCGACGTACGGCTTGGAGCCGGGCGCCGCGCGGCATCCACCAGTGACGTCACGCTAATGCTTAGCGACCGGTCCATTGGAAATTGCGGGATGATTCTACCTCTCTTATACGGCCTTGCACCAAACGACGGATGGGACTAAATGCTTACTTCGAAATCTAAGCTACGTTGCGGCATTGGCGGTTATGTGCGGCGTGTATGCCGCATGATTAGTAAGCGGCGACCACTAAATTAAAGACTCAAACGCTCCGACCGGTTCTCAATGAATAACACTGCATACCAAAAATGCCAACCGCTCTCGTCATAAGATATTCAGCTTTAAATAACTAGGTTATCTACATCATCATTTTGAACCAAATTAATACTTTCAACTTAACTCACTCATTCCTTCCTTTGTTGTCTCCAAACAGTCTTTCGATTGTCTGAAAATCGTATGCTAAATCCCGTACCTGTATGCGACTGGTGCATATAAAGGCCGATAAAGGAATTTGAATAGGCTCTGGCATGCGATTTCCTGGCTACCCAAAAAAGTCTGTTTCAGTCTTGCTATCAAAACATGACCTCGCCCGCACAGGGGGGGGGGGGGGTTGATGCAATCCCCCTAAGGTTTTTCGCGAATAACTCGCTTAAAAAGCGGCTGATCGCGACGAAACTTTCAGTACCCTCGCATTGATCAATTTAACACCCATCCTGAAAATTTCATGACCCTGACCCAAATGACCTTTGACCTGTGACCTACTTTTCGAGACCATGTTTGGCCGGAACCGCGATTCAGCGTATGTCGGCTCGCATTAGCAGCGCGTTTGCAGTCTTTTCGTGGTTTCAAGCGTTCAAACATGTGATATGATGTTGCCCCCATGCATTAGGGTGGGTGTCAAGGTCACCTGAAGGTCAGGTCAGGTCATTGACCTTTGGTGACCTCGGTTCACTTTTTCGAGTTTGACATGTTTCTACAGGGCGTATTTTAACATGTTAACTGGGTCGGCAATTGCCGACCCAGTCACGGAGAATGCCGACCCAGTGACAGCCGTTTGCCGACCCAGTTGCCGCCCCCTCTAGGATGCAGCACGCACATGCAGGCTAGGTGCCGTCATTCATAGTGAGGCTGCTGCCCTCCGAAATGATAATGCCGCCTCTTAAAGTGAAGCAGCCGTCTATAGAAAGTGATGATCCCACAACTCAATGTGACAGTGCCGCCCCTAAATCTGTTAGTAGTCCCACTCAATGTAATGGTGCCGCCCTTCTAAGCATCTGTGGAGCCCCTCAATGTGATGATACCGCCCCTCAAGAAGATGATGCCGCCCCTTTCAGTATCGGTGGCGCCCCTCAATGTGATGGTGCCGCCCTCAAAGTGCCGGTGGCGCCCCTGAATGTGATGGTGCTGCCCGCCAACGAGTCGATGGCGCCCCTCAAAATGATGCTGCCGCCCCTTAAAGTGTTGGCGCCGCCCCTTATAGTGTCAGTGACGCCCTTCGAAGTGTCGGAGGAACCCACCAATATAATGGTGCCGCCCCTCTAGATATCCACATAGCCCCTCATTGTGATGGAGCCGCCCCTCAAGCAGATGATGCCGCCCCTGAATGTGATGGTGCTGCCCGCCAACGAGTTGGTGGCGCCCCTCAAAATGATGCTGCCGCCCCTTAAAGTGTTAGTGCCGCCCCTTATAGTGTCAGTGACGCCCTTCGAAGTGTCAGAGGAACCCACCAATATAATGGTGCCGCCCCTCTAGGTATCCACATAGCCCCTCATTGTGATGGAGCTGCCCCTCAAACAGATAATGCCGCCCCTCAAGAAGATGATGCCGCCCCTTTCAGTATCGGTGGCGCCCCTCAATGTGATGGTGCCTCCCTCAAAGTGCCAGTGGCGCCCCTGAATGTGATGGTGCTGCCCGCCAACGAGTCGGTGGCACCCCTCAAAATGATGCTGCCGCCCCTAAAAGTGCTGGTGCCGCCCCTTACAGTGTCAGTGGCGCCCTTCAAAGTTTTGGAGGAACTCATCAATACAATGTTGCCGCCCTCTAACTTTCTGTAGCGCTCCTCCATATACATAATGGTGCCGCTTCTCAAACCATCCGTGGCGCCCCTCAAAGTGATGGTGCCGCCCCTTACAGTGTCGGTGGTGTCTCCTCAAAAGTCAAGGTGCCGCCTCTCTAAGAAATGCTGGTGTCCCTCGAAGTGTCGGAGGCGCTCCTCAATGTCATGTTGCCGCCCCTCAAACCTTCCGTAACGCCCCTCCACGTCATGGTGCCGCCCCCCAATGTGCTCACGGCGCCCATATGTGATAGTAACGCCGGTCAAAGTGCTCCTGGCAGTGTCGGTGGCGCCCCATATAGTGTCGGTGGCGCCCCGAACAGTATCGGTGGTGGCCCTCAAAGTGATGATGTCACCCTCAAACAAACGGTGGCGCCCTTCGAAGTATCGGAGTCCCTAAATATCATACCTATTGCCGCCCATTAACGATCTGTAGCACCCCTCCATATGATGGAGCCGCCCCTTAAAGTATCCATGGCGGTCCTTAAAGTTACAGTGCCGCCCCTTACAATGTGGGTGGCGTCCTCAAAATAAAAGTGATGTTGCCCCCCCCCCCCCGAGTAATGTTGGCGTCTCTTTCTTCTTTAAGTATCGGAGGCGCTCCT